AGTTCGTTCCAAAGTCTAAACTATCGACAAGGTCATTTTTGTTCAAATCTAAAACGCATTTTGCAGCGTGCTTGTTAATTCATTTTGGTTCGCAAAATTTTTCGCAATTAAAGCTTTGATGTTAACCGACGATATATTTCCTAATCCCTTTTCTAGTAAGTTTCACTTTGATTCTAACAATTGGTATTAAAAAGGTGTTAAATTGTAGTGGGGTTATCTAATTTTGGGGTTATGTGAGAGGGGCTTAAGACAAAGGGGTTAAAAAACAGGGGGTGATAAGCTTGTGAACCGAATAAACAACGGTTGGCAGCGCGAACTACCATCTCATGAAGACGTGCTCATATTTCGTTCGGACAAGGATTCACTTTGGAAATTCTACAAACCTGGGTTGACCAAAACTTCTTATCATACAATTTTTATATATGAGAAACTTCTTGTCATACATTTCCATACGTACAGAAAATTGTATGAAAACTCTATGATAGGCATTTTTCCATATATGAAAATTGTATGATAGGTGTTTTCCCATAAACCAAAAATTTCGATTTTTTCTTTCTGAATTTAGTTTCTGAAAAATTTTCGGTTGTGTTTGCAACCGATCACAAGTGACAAAGACCTTGGTTACTCATAACGCCAAAGATTGGACGGTCTTGCATTTACAATGCGTAGAAAACGACCTGAATTTGGCTGTCTTTCACAATTAATATAACAAAAGAAACAAACTTTTCTTTTTTGGCAAAATTTGTTAATGATGATTGTTTCAAATTTGTGAATTTTCAAATTATCAGACATTGATCAAGGCATACATTAACACCCCATACAAAAGAAATAGGAATTTTCAGCGTTTTCGAAAAAAAAAATTTAAGTGAAAAGAAAATAAAAGCCAATTTTATCGTATCCAGACTACGTTATGCACACAAAATATTAAATTTTGCATGCAAAACTTTTTTTCGAAAAATGTTTGTTTGCGTACGAAATTCGATTTGCGGTTGAAATAAAACATAAAATTTTTTGGGTCAAATTTGCAAAATTACTTTTGTGTCGCCATCAAAAAAATGCCAGTCATACAATTTCCATATATGGGAATTGTATGATAAGCATTTTTTTTCAAAAAACGAAAACCTCAGTTTTTTTATCACCAGACTGTTTTATTAGAATCAAACAGCCACAGAAATAAGTTTATACCAGTTGAAAACTGGTATAAACTTATTTCTGTGGCTGTTTGATTCTAATTACCATTTTTAGAAATTGTATGACAAGCATTTTTCCACACACTTGATGTATGGAATTGTATGATAAGCATTTTCGGTGTATGGAGGTCAACCCGGGAAGACGACTACACCCATGGCTATCAAGACATGGCAGCAAACGAAGAAATTGAAAAAACTCACCAAGTTACCTCGCTGAGGACGAGTTTTGATTCTGACATTTGTCTCAAATTTAAACAGTTAGGAATGAACGGTGCATGATTTCCCTCGCAGGAAATTAGGGCGGAAAAGACTAATTGCCGGCTTCTACAAATCAAACCCACAAATTTGGTAGGACACCAATAAAGTGCCGTCAAACCTTTCTAAAGAAATAGACCTTTTAGATATAGATTTGTTTCGAAGTGGATCATCAACGTTGTGCCCTATTAGTATTTAAAAGGTCCCTCTAAAAACCCTCGACAGTCCTGGAAACCCGCTTTACGAGGCCAAATTGTGCATTTTGTGCATTGTAAGCGGATTCCACAACAAGGACGCTCCCTTTGTTTTTCTTTTGTTCTTTCATTTTCTTTGATCGTTCCGACAAAACTTTAACATGTTTAAAGACTTGTCTATGGAATCCAGGAACATACAGACACAAAACTGTGCGCCTATCCAGCGCACAGTTTGGCCTCGTAATGCGGGTTCAGGACTCCAACCTTCATTTTTTCAGTAATCCGACGCTTCGAATGATACGATGGCAGCCGTCAACCAGAAAGTATCAAACCCTCAAGTTGTTGAAAGTGATGACGACTGATTGGCAGGTTTTTAAAATCACTGACAGCCGAATCTGAACGTAAAATTAACCGGTTTTATTCGAGACCTTATCTTTTTTCTTCTTCAAGTTTTACAGTCAAGGATTATTTGTAGATGCTGTAGATTCTCTTTTTAAGAAGCAGGAGCAAGTTACATCTCTACCATTCTCTAAGTTTAGGAGCTAGTGACATCCCTGGCAACTTTCGAGACCAGCAAAAACGATGATATCGAAGTTAACTCAAATTTCGACAGTGTAATAACATTCCAACAAGTAGACAGGTTCCTTTGAAAAAGTTTTTCTGAATCTCAAAACTGATCCATTTTTTAAGTTACTGAATGAATCTTCATCAAACTTTAACTTAGAAAAAATATGTTCTTAACAAGTCCTCTCAACTATTGTCTAAATTTACTTAGACCCATAACATTGTCATTATCAAAAGTTATTTTTTCATTCGACATTTTCGCGTCAATTTGTGGGAACGTTTTTTTTTCTCAAATTGATCGTATTCTTGAATATCCAATTAGCGCCATACCCAACTACGCGTTTAATTGGTCTGATTACATGCAGTTTATAAACTGTTTCTCAAACTTCTCGCTTGAGTGAAAAAGGAGTCGGATTGAAATCAATTTCAGTATTTAAGATTTTTCCCAGTCGGGAAAATGTGAAGGTTTTTATTTTTAATCTTCAGATTTATTACCGTAACAATTCAGGTTTGAGCAGCGAACTCGGAGTGAGCAACTTTTTTGTTATTTGCTTCGATAGAAATAACACAGTGTTTCAACACAATTCTTTTATTCTTTAACTTTTTTGCTTTAAGTTTTGTTTACATGAGTCATTAGACTATTTTATTTTGGCTCTTATGTATGGTGAATTTGAAGTTTTTTGATCGAGACCAAATAAAATAAACCTAAAAACATCCTTTTGCCCATTTTTTTCAAAAATTTTCACGCTGTTGGTTTTCACATGATGAAAAGTTTTTTTTTTTTAAATCAATTTTGTTTGATTTTTAATCAGACAGCTTTTATACTTTAGACTGAAAACTTTTAAGTGTAATTACAAAAACTGTCTTTCTCGACAGTAAACGAATTCTTTTGGCAATTATTCATTTCAACTGGAACCAGGACCAAAAAGGTTTGTCATGATGCAGTTTCTTAGTATGTGGTACCTTGAGTTTGTCTGGAATTTGGAAAAAAATAGCCAAATGATTACAAACAGCGATAAGGTTTTTCCCAGAAAACCAGCCTTGATCCATTGTAAAATCCATACAAAAATAATCATTAATGGAAGTTCTAATATAAGGAGTTTAATGTGAGCTTCAGCTAACTATTTGTGTACCATTATCTTTAAATATGTTGTGATTGCTTGGAACCTACTGTACAACAGGTTTGTTTTACTGTTTTTACCTCTCTCGACTTTTGAAGATATAATTTAGTTATTTCGATAGTTATTTTTGACTTCAAGCAAATAACTGCAATACATTTAGGCACCGTTTTTCAAAACTTTCGTAGGGGTAGAAGTTTTTGGATAAATGTGATAACAGAGGCAGTCTGGGACAACACCTCAAACTGTTTTGATCGAGATTTTTCAAAATTGTCGCAATGAAATCCTTGATCCATACCCGGATCGAGCTGGTTGAAAGATGATCAGACCGAAGTCGGTCGAACAGCGAATTTTTCCAGGCCAAAAATACATACCTTATTTCGGTCTGGTGGTCGAAGCATCATACTGATCTTCAGTGTGATGATTGAACTAGGATCAAATCAGGGTCGAACTAGAGTCGAATCAGGGTCAAATCAGAGTCGAATCAGGGTCGAACTAGTGTCAAATCAGGGTCGAACTAGGGTTAAATCAGGGTCGAACTAGGGTCGAACTAGTGCCGAACTAGGGTCGAACAAATATACATTTTTTACCCCATTAAAGATATCTACTCCTTGAAATTAAATTAAAAAAGATATTCTACCTCCGTTCGTTTTTTTTCCAAAATTCTGTGGGTTTGAAAATTGCCATGCTTAGGACAAAGTTATGCGCGTTTTGAAGATTTTTGTTTCGACTTTCGATTCATGCTTGGTGTGTTTTTTTCACTGATTCAATATTCAACGATTAAAATTATATCTCAACAAAATACTTTATGCTGCATTAAGCATATCGACTCCCTGATATCAAATAAAAAAAAATCTGTAATCTCCGATCATTTTTTGAAAACTTTGTTAATTCAAAAACTGCCAATTTGGCCATTCTCTCGATTAATTTATGCGCGCTTTGAAAATTTTATCAAAAACCCTTAAAACTTTCTGCAAATTAGTTATGCATGGCGAATTATTACGCACAACAAAGTCGTTCCAAACTGAATTGAGGCTAGCTAAATTGTAGCTAATTTTGATATTGTCCAAGGTTTATAGTTTTTCAGTATTTTATTTTCCCAATATTCTATTTAATATGGGTTAAGGGGTAGTCGGAACACTTTCAGTTATTTGCCCTAATATACGAGCATTCTTGTAACAATGATGCTGAAAGCGTAACGCAAACTATTTATGCGTGACGAACTATCCCCTACAACAAAATCGTTCCAAATTGAATTAAGGCTAGCTAAGTTAATCGGTTCCCTTGAGTTCGTAACTTGAAATTTAAATCTTGATCTTTGATATTGTCCAAAATTGATAGTTTTTTTAATATTTTTTCCGTAAAAACTAATCGATATGGATAAAGGGGCAGTATGAACTTTCAGGGTTTTGCCCTGATATACTGGCAGTCAATTTTTTTCAGCCCAGAAAAAAAAGACCAAAAAGCTGCTTGCAGTTCTTAAAAAAGGGCACTAGAGTTGTTCATAGTAAATAGATCAATCGCTTGTTCGTCAGTCTTTTCCTTAGTGATAAAAAGTCTACAACTATCAATTGTTTTTTTTTCAATAGGAGAGAGTTATCTTTCATTCCATTCAATTCGCAGGTTTCAGTAGAAACGTGTACTTCATAATCAAAACCAATGACAAAAAAAAATTTCAATCAAAGCACCATTTATGAGCATCATCAAAATATCAAATTATACAAAATTTGAAACTTACCAGTCATGTGATAACTCAAACAATCAAGCATATATCATTAACGAGCATTTCAAACACTATATAAAAATTTTGTTTATTTTATTTTGAATACAAAAAACGTCATCATTCACTAACAAAATATTGAGAAAGCAACGGATATCTTTAATCATCCCCTGTTGCATCCTCCCATTGCAAAAATTAGAAAGATTTGCGTTCAAGTCCCTCAAGTTCTCCTCGGCGCCAAAAGCACTTTTCTTTTGTTTCCGAAAATGGATGTCATAAAACAATACCCAATTAGGGACAATTTATAGAGCGTTAATTTTGCAAGTCGGTGACCTGAGTTATTGTATTTAGAAAATCTGCAGAACTTAGGAAAAATTTTCGTTTGTAAAAAGAATCATAGATATCAAAGAGTTATATGAGTTGGACTGAATTGATTTTCATCTAGAAAATGTCAGAAAACTACCAATTCTTTGTTGTTTTAATAATGCAAAAACGGTGGCTGCGGATCATTTTTGTCATAAGCTATATTTGCGAAATATTTGAACAGAAAGAAGAAGGAAACGTTCCAAATCAAGAAAGACACAGGTGACAAAATTCTGCAAATTCTGTCTGGATAATCTTCAGTGGATTGCACGTAGGAGTTAAACTCATGTCCGACTATTTCGATTCCCAGAGAAGATGAAGGGTCCAATGCCAGCTGAGAATGGTCCGATTTTGTCCCATTTTGGTCCATAACTTCAACAGATGACTCCTAAACAAACGCTATATCTGGTGACTCCATTTGTACCATAAAGAGCACAGGCTTTCAAAAATGCAGTAGTTAGGAATTCTGAACTGTTATTTTTTTAATGTTAATATGTAAGGGTTTTTCAAGACGTGCAATTAAACATAGGTTCTCAAGTTTTGCTATATTTTAGTTGGAATTTTTTGTATACTGTTGCTATTGTTTCAGTTCCGAATTTTGAACTGCGAAATGTTTATGCTTGAGGGCTTTATTAATCGGCAAATTTTTCGCAATCGAAATAGTAGTTTTAACTAAAGTTTTAATTTAACCCTTTGAAAATTTTGTACAAAACCGTTCGAAATCGAATTGAGACAAGCTAATCGGTCGCATTAATCTTACTACCCAAATTTTCACACTTAATGTTTGATATATTTGTTGTCATTAAAGGGGCAGTCAGGATATTCAGAACTTTGCCCTGATATGCTAGCAGTCTTGTTTTTGTCTGAAAAGGGTTTCAAAAACTTCTGTAACTTACGTTTTTAAGCTTCTCTTCTGACTCGTTATCATGGGTACTTGCAGTTCGTTTTTGATTGATGACTTCCCGATTTCTCTTTGCCATTAATTTCTTACCGGAACAGGATGCCAAGAGAGTCTCGATCAGAGAAGCCACATTCATCAAAAAGTTCACAATCAGATAAGCATCGATGATCTAAATTTTCTTTGAGTTCAAGGACAGTTTTACACGATAAGAATCACTGATCTAGTTCAGTTCAACTAAAATAGGGCCATTTACCCAACAAGAAAACTGGATATACTAATTTTTCAATTTTGCGATAACAAAAAAATCCAAACGTCCTCTTTAAGGGCGGATCTAGGATTTTCACGAGGGGGATGTGGAAAGGGGAATACGGATTTTCGAAATATGTGCCGGACTTTTTTTAAATGGACCAAATGAATTTTCCGAGCACTCCCAGATCAATATAACAACCTTATTTTAACAAAACTTTCAATACAGAAATTTGCCTCTGTATTTGTTTTTGCCAGCAAAAAATCCGACAAAAGTCTGCTCTAATTTAAGCGTCAAGAATTATTGTGTTCGTCATTTAGTTGATCGGTATATTTAATTAATTTTAATTTCATCTGTAAGATTTATGTCTACTAGTTTTCAATTTATGATGACGAAATAGTCGTTGCTCCCAAAAAATTTGCTTAATCTTTGGGAACATGTGTAGGCTTTCTTGAGACGGTCCTGTATGTTACCAGCGAATATGCTGGTCAAGCCAACTGCACATTATAAACAACTGACTGAATTTGCTTTTTGCATCTGTTGTACGAAATGCATGCTAGCAAGAAAAATTGATAACTGAAACTTAATGCTCATTTTTCCTGATAACTGAGACTTGAGTGTCGACTTTGCTTGCATACGAAATTTTGGTCGCGCCGTATTTTTGCCTAACCGCATTGGGTTCAAGTCCCAACTTTCTGGAGCTTGGCTACCCATATTTTGAAGCGAATATGAAGTTTCTCAACTCGGGAAGTAAAAAAACGAGGAGCCCTAGGACGGATTTAGGGGGGGGGGGGGCTCGGACGCCTTTTTCCCTCCTCAGGGATTTGACCCCCTGCCGACCAAAAGGGTCCCCCTTTGGTATTTTTTAAGAAATCCATTTTTGGCCAACCGACCCTAAATTTTTTTAAAGGCTCCAATATATAGTAACTTTGAGGGGGAGCGCGCGCCAAAAAAAAACGCGATAAAAACTTTTTGGGGCTTTAGAAGAGCTCGGAAAATCAATTTGGTCGACCTAACAAAAAAAAGTCGTCAAAATTTTCGAAAATCCTCGAGAAAATCTTAGATCCGCCCCTCGAGGAGCCCCTTTTGTTGAAAAGTTTCGCCTAGAGTGACACCTTTCAGTTCATTTTCTATCATGGCGGCTGCAAGCTCCAAATTTGGGCAAGCTCCAAATCAAAGGTTTTGAGCCTTAATGAAAAGCTGAAAAAATCAGTTGGGCTGATTTAGGGCACTCTTTATCCACAAGAAATGTAGAATTCTATAGTACCTTGAAGTCAGCCGATTGGGGAAAACTCTGCTCTTCGCCTATGATGAGAATGACCTGGGCGAGGATGAGGGCGATGCAGATGTTGGCTCTTTCAGGCAGGGCAAGGGGATCTATCCACATCACCACCCAGCTGCAGAGAACACAGAAACAACTAACTCCAATCTTAATTGTTGAACAAACAAGACTGCTCGTATCAAGACAAAGCCATGCATTTTTCTACTGCTCTTTTATGTCCAAGGAGTCAGGAAAACTTTTAAAAATTATTTAAAAAAATCAAAAAAAAGATAAGCAGATTTGATTTTTTTCAGATTAGTTTTTTAAAGCCCCCACGCGCCATGTTCAGTGCAAAGTAACGTAGTTAAGATTTTGCAAAGTATAAGTATTTCCACATAGCTTACCTCAGGTCAATTTTAATCAATTTCGGACCTGAAATATGTCGCCGATCACCTTTTAGGAGAATGAAATATATCTCGCGTTAACTGTCCTAAATTAATCAATTGGGATATTTTCAAACCGTAATATGTTTTTTAAATTAACTATAAGAGAAATATTTTTTTTTGGCTCAAGACTTCAAAATCTTTCGGATGGTAATTAAAGACTACTGTGATATGCGTTGCGATATCAATTGAAAACAAGTTGTAATTCAATACTGTATTCTGAATATTGAATTTAGATTTTCTCTTTTCTTGGTTTCTTATGTACTGAGAGATAGATCATTGTTAAGTACTCTGATCTCTCGCTTAATCTCAGTGTCAACACTTACGTATGACCTTGAGAATACCATAAAATAATGATTGAGCACCAGAGGTTAGATGTACATACGTATAATAAATACTGCTACTGCAGTAGCGGTATGACAACTACATATAAAAAAAAGCTAGTTAATAAGTCGAGTTTTGTATGATGAAAAAAAAAATATTGCAAAAATATTCTATCCTTTCTTCAAATGTCAAAACAACCAGGACCTGAAAATTTAACACAAAAAAGAACACGGATTGCCGGTTTTTACCACAGAATGTTCCGACCATAGTCTTAAAAAATACAAAAAAAAATTTTTTTTTTCAAATTTTTGTCGTTTTTTCTGCGTGGTGCGATAAAAAAGACTGAACAAAAAAGCTTAGGCACAATTGACGGTCAGAGTAAGCAATTTTGTAGAAAAAAAACTAGAAAAACGAAAAAACTAATGTGTAAGAAAAATATTTTAATCTTATTTGATTCCCAAAAATTTGGATTCCCAAAATGGCGCTAGGAAACACCACACACAAATTTCAATAAAGTAAATAGGCAATTTTCATGGCCTTAATTCAAGCATAAATAAGCTATTGTAATATGTCACCTTCTTAGCTTGAAATTAGAACAAAAATCAGAACAAAACTTTCAAACCGATTTTTCTCGATTCGACTGAAGGGGTTTTAGTATGATATATCACTCGGCCCATTGTGGTACCTGATTATGCGTGGAAAACAAAAAAAAATAAAAAAGAAATAAGGATAGCCGGTTACTGTGCAAGTAGCACAGCACAGAATGTTCCGACCAAAAAACTACAACAAATTAGAAAATTACAACAGTTTTTTTTCAAATTAATGCTAATTTTTTGGCGTGGCGTGATAAAGGAATCTGAGCAAAAAAAATTAATTTTTGAAGTTTTTTTCAAAAATAAATTTAAAATTTTTAATACATTCGGATTGCGACTGAAATGGTTTTAATATGATATTCACTCAACCCAGTCCGATGATTAATTCTGGTAGCTGATTTTGCGCGAAAATCAAAAAGAAAAAACTCTAAAACACACCCGAATACAAAGTTTCTTCCCCAAGTTGGAACAAAAAAAGTACCCTTGAATACAAAATATACCAAAAATTTTTAATGGTCGTAACAACAGAGCGCCTCATATTGTATTTTTTGATTGTTTCAACTTTCTCACTCGGGTGCTTAGTAACGATTATCCCGGGTGCTTAGTAACGATAATCCCCCCTATAAAAAAATAAATTAAAAGTTAATGATATCAGGGTGCTTAGTAACGATTATCCCCCCTATAAAAAAAATTAATTAAAAGTTATGTATATCAGAATTTTATACCTAGTAACGAATATCCCTTGTTTTGCAAAAGGGGATATAGTTAAAGAGATCCCCTATTTTAAATAATTTGACAAAAGTGAGGAAATTCCAACTCCATTTTATAAATTGAGCTGGAAAAAAGTTTTATATCAGTTTTTATTGTAAGAAAGATGTCGCAGTGTCCTGTAGAGAGTGATAGTTTTTTCTGCCCCTATTCACGCCATTTTAAGATCATTTAGTTGGACTCATTCTAATTCGAGCGATTTTTGAGAAGGGTTATTTCAGCGATGCCGCTTAAGTTCAAATAATAATTGCATTGCCCAAGTGGGTTTTGTTCTAGAATCATTGATCTGTAATTATTTCGCCAGTAGATTCCACAGCCAAATATTCATTACGTTGAAGGGGGACAGAAAATGTTTAAAAAAGGTTAGAAGTTTGCACAAAATTACAAAACTAATGAGACAAAGGAAAGGAAAAACATAAAAATTTCTGGGAATAATTTCAAAATTTTAAAATCTGAAAATTATGAAAAAAGGCAAAAATTAGACCAGTGAAAATTGTCTTCCGACCGGAAACGGGAAACAAACAAGATATCATTAAAACGCAGAGTTTTTGTAAATTTTTTTTCTCCAATTTCTTTAACTTGAGAGGACCATGGTCAAAAGCATATAATAGTATTTTAAATAGTATATGGGTAGTTTTTTCTAGTATCTCTCTTTCATAATGATTTCAAATTGAATTGAGGCAAAATATTTGGTCATAAGAATGCCAGTCATATTCTTCTCACTTTTTTTTAAATTTGATGTTTTCGATCAAACTTTCAGTTTATGGGAAGTTTTTGGTTTAAAATTTTGGATTCCAGTTGTGGGGTAGTCGGAACATTCAAGGCCTTACGCTGATATGCGAACGAGCAGTCTTGTTTCCATATGAAAAAAAAACTGAACAACCTTTTTGCCATGAATTTTGGAGTTTTGGATCGCATAAGGTAAATAGCATAAACTATACCATACATACACATACACAGGGGCGGATCTAGGATTTTCTCGAGGGGGGGGGGGGGGGGGCGGATTTTCAAAAAATTTTTGAAAATTTTGACGACCTTTTTTTTAGGTCGATCAGATTGATTTCCCGAGCTCTCCCAAAGCAATAAAAAGACCCTGCTTTGGCCAACCAAATTTTCTGTGCCTCAGGCAATTTTTTGAAAAAACAGGTCAAAAACGCCGTTTTTGGGCACTTTTTGGAAAATTTTGACAAAAAAAACGCGTTTTTTTGGCGCGCGCTTCCCCTCAAATTTAGTATATATTGGCGCCAAAGGCGCCTTTAGAAAAATTTTAGGGTCGGTCGGCCAAAAATGGATTTCTTAAAAAGTACCAAAGGGGGGACCCTTTGGGTTGGCAGGGGTTCGAATCCCTGAGGAGGAGGGGCGTCCGCCCCCCCCCCCCCCGCCCCTTCTAAATCCGCCCCTGTACATACACATGTACACCGATGCAAACACAGGCAAATCTGCGAGAGATTATTTCAATCTTAATTTTTGAAAAATTTTCGTGTGTCTAGGTATGGAAATAATTTTTTTCTACTCCTCTCAGTTGACTGAACAAACGAAACTGGTCTTAATAGATAATTATCTGTCCTATGCTGAGCTTGGTCTAATATTCAATGAAAATGATCACTTTTTTTTTCAAAAAGGACTGTACAATTGATATCAGTGGTGTTTACCGTCGTTCGTTCTCTTGTAGTTCATTTATATGATTAGGTGCTGTTGAAGACAGATTAATTTTATTTTCACTTTGAAATTAGGCTAAAAAAAACAAAAAAAAATTGAATTAAAAAACTAACTGCCTAACAACTTAACAACCGAAGCTTGCATAGTAGAAGTGATTTTCCAAAAAAAGCAATCTCTAACGTGTAAATATTAGTTTTAAAAACTCATATCTTTCATCCAGCAAAACGGCAAAAAGGTTTGGCAACTGCAGTTTGATGTAAATTTCACTTAGCAGATTGTTTTTATTAGACAATGAGAACTATGCGCGTGCAACTGCATTACTGGATTTTTTTTGCTCTGCGTTTTTTGTCTAATTTTCTATCGAGCTCGCACCATCATCAATTACGGCGTAACGATTATTTATTAGATCAAGGTCCTTTTTTTGTTTCAACCCGACAGTCTTGACCAAAGTTTACTATGTTTTGACCGTTTTGGCAAATTTTGCATAAGTTTTAACCGTCTCGACCTAATTCAGATAAGTTGCGACTGAATTGACCAAAAAAAGTGCCCGATTTTGTTTCATCCAAGTGAGATACATTCTGACTGTCTCGATCAAAAAATGCGCTTGAATTGTTATGAATCAAACCTGCAAAAATAAATCAACAAAAATTTCAATCAACATGAATGATTCAAATGATCAATGCTTGTTAGTTAAAATTTCATGGACATATTTTGACAAAATTAGGTTATCAAAGCCATTTGTGAATTACTTGCTCTGTAGAAAAAAGTTACTTTTAATCCATTTTTTCCGTTTTTTGAAAAGTCTATTATCAATATGCGTCATATATGTCAGAAAAAACTCGTAGAAAACTTAAATAAACTTACTTTGTTATACCGCATTTTGACCAAGTTTGAAGTAAGTTTCTAAAATGATTGGGGCAGGGTCGGATCTAGGGTTTTCTCGAGGGGGGCAGCTTTTTTTTAGGTCGACCGAATTGATTTTTCGAGCCGAGCTCTCCCTAAGCACAGTTTAGTCCCTGTTTTGGGCAAATTTTCTGCGCCGCAGGCAGAATTTTGAAAAAAAAAGTCTCAAAAAGGCGTTTTTAGGCACTTTTTGGAAAATTTTGACCAAAAATTGCGTTTTTTGGCGCGCGTTCCCCCCCCCCCCCTCCCACCTCAAAATAAGTTTATTTTGGCGCCAAAGGCGCCTTTAGAAAAATTTTAGGGTCGGTCGGCAAAAAATGGATTTCTTAAAAGGTACCAAAGGGGGGACCCTTTGGGTCGGCAGGGGGTCAAATCCCTGAGGGGTAAAACGTCCCCCACCTAATTCCGCCCCTGGATTGGGTATCTTTCGACCGTGTCTGACCTAATTTTTATATGTTTTGACCGTGCCTGAGGTATGTTTCGACCGTGTTTGGCCTAATTTCTTTTTGTTTCGACCCTGCAGGAGGTGTAAGTCGAGTTTGTCCTCACCTCAAACTCCTCTCACCTATTGCTTTTCTTCCTATAATGGACATTGACAGCATTGGTACGGCAGCGGTGGCATTTTGATCACTTTAAAATTCAAAACCTTAAGTGCTTTTGAAAACCCGGCCCTTGTAAACAAAGTATGCCTGGACTAAGTTAATCAACCAGCATGCCATTTTTCATTAAAATCGGCAATTTCAAACAAAATAGTTATGAGCTAAAAAATAATGTCAGGGAAATTTAAAATGGCAAAATGTCGTTTTTCTTTATAACCTACAATTTCAAACAAAAACATTTGTGAGCTAAAAATTTCAGGGAAAATTAAAATGCCAGCATGCCATTTTTCATTATAATCGACAGTTTCAAACAAATAATTTAGAGCTAAAAAACGAGAGTGCAAACTTAAATCATAACAGCTGAATATAGAATATCTATACATCCACACAATACTAAATTTTTTTACAAAATTGAAAATAAAACAAAAATTGTCAACTTTTAATTAGGCAATAGTTTTTCAATAAACACGGAAATTTTTTTGACTGTTTTCTTGTTAGCTGCTAAAAAGGCTATTAAAATATTCAGTTGATTTTAAAGACGTTAAATTAAATACAGTGTTACTTGAATTAAAAGAAAAAATGTTCGCCCTAGTAAAAGTACTACAAGAAAATAATACGGCCACCGAAGCAGTCAATTAGTTCACCCAAGGGCAACCTACGACTTGTGAAGGTGGGAGAAAAAGCGAAACGATTAAAAATAGTTAAAAATGTCAAAAAGTTATGTGAGAGAACTATGACCCAGTAAAAATACGAGATGCGAAGTAATGAAAGCTATTTCAAAAGTTGCGCGGTGAAAATTGGCCTTGAATACTTTGTGAGCAGAACAAAAATTCTTCTCTGCAAGTAGTAAAAAATGATCGAGACTTTTTGTTCAAACTTAAAAAGATACTTTAACTCCTCTTCAACTCTTGACTTTTTTGAGGCTAATAGATTCAAACGAAGTACTTGATTCAATCAAAGGACCAAATTGTGCGCGCTTATGAAACATTTACACGCATTGCTCAGCGCTCAAAGGCGCAATTTTCAGGCTGATCGAAATTAATTTCAAAGCGAAAAAGAAACCATTTTAAAATAAATTGCGAGGCAAACTAATGAGTCTTAGTTTTTGATACGACTTTCGGAGAAAGTGACGGAATATTTGTGCTCGGGGGGTTTTTTTTCCAGACAAAATTCGACTTCTTATATAGCCATTTTGCCAATATTTTTTATATAGTTCAAAACGTATTCTTGTACTGAAATGAAAAATGGAAAACAATTCACCTGTGATCTTAATTATTAGATTTAATCCGTTTTACAAAGCGTTCCAATGAAATTGAAGCAGACTATTTGTTAGAATTTTTGGGCTACTAAAATCAAAGTTTTCCTACTTAAAATGGCGTGTGGGGGATTTTTTAAAATAAATCTGAAAAAAAAAATTAAAGAAAAACACCGTTTTCCAATGCGAATACTGCTCCATTGACCTTAAAAGCAGTCAGACATTTAGGGCTTCGCCCTGATACAAGCACTCTTCTTGTTCCGATTTTCAAAGAAAGTGAGGATTATATATACTTGGGGTGGTTTTTTTATTCAGATTAATTTTAAAAAATAAATCTTTGCCCACTTGACTTTTCGATCTCTGGAACTACGTGGACCCCTCGGGAGTGCTTACCACTTTATTAAATTGACTGCCTAATCAATCTGAAACGGGTATTGTTAAACTGCTCGTTTTATAGTTTTATGCTGAAACTGACAAATTATCTCTCAACAAAAATTGAATTGAGTCAAGTTAATTGATCTTTTTAGCTCTATAAACGTCTCAATTTTTTTACACTGAATGTTTGACGTTATCAAATTAAAAATGAAATTTTGTAACTTTTTCATTATAGTAAAATTACTTGAAACCATTTAAAAAGCAGTGAGAACATTCAAGATTTTGTCTTGATACAAGCAGTCTTGTACATTACTGTTTTGACGTTCGAAAGAAAAAAAAAGGATCATTCGTGTCGGGCGATTTTTTTACTTCTTAACTAACCATTTTTGAAATTTTTTAAAGTATCATTCAAAAAGTATTGCTGTACTGAACTCAAATTTCCGAAGATTTTTTACCTCTGATCTCTTTTTTGCATAGTTATGGGGGGCTTAAGACTAGGTTTAAGATAAGTTTTGTCGTAAATGCTACGTTGCTAAAAGCAAAATCTATAACTTATGTCTAAAATACCGTGTACGGGGGTGAATTAAACAAATTTTTTTTAAAAAAATTTTGTTTTTTGAAAAAAGTCATCTGCAATTTTCTAATGCAAATGCTGCTTCATGGATGTTAAGCAAAGTTAGAATATTGAAAGCTTTGACATGATACGAGCAGTCTCGATGTTCGGATGTTCAGAAAAGTGAGGAATATATATGCTTGAAGTGGTTCTTTTTAATTCCGACAACTTTTAACAGAATTTTTGCACTCCTGTAGGCTCGATGTCTGAAATTACATCGACGCCGTCTAGTTTGTTTTCCCATCATATAAAATTGACTGTCTGATCAACTTGAAAAGAGCCTTGCTAAACTGCTCGTTTTATACTTTGATGATGTAGCTGTAAGGCAAATTATGTATGCATAAGTAAATATCCTGCACTAAAAAATAGTTACTAAAAGAATTGAGGCAAGCTATTTGGTCATATTAGTTTCATTAACGATTCAACTTTCAACACATGAATATTGGCATTATCGAAGTAAAATTGCTTTTTTCTCAAAAAATTATTCGAAACTAGTTTAAAAAAAGGCGAGCAATTCAGGTCTTTGCGATGATACCAGCAATCTTGTTGTTCCGACATTCGAAGAAAGTGAGGAATGTATATGTGCTTGGAGTTTTTTTCAGTCAAACCAGTTTGTAAAACAATATTTGGTGATTTAGGTTTTCGATTTCTAGAGCTTCATGGGCACCGCTGGACGCTGCCTACCACTATATTGAATTGACTGTCTAATCAAACTGAACCGAATCTTGCTAAACCGCTCATTTTATACTTTGATGCTGAAACTGAAAGACAATCTTTCTACGCGTGCAGAAAAATCCTGCTCTATAAAATTGTTTCTAATTTAATTGACGCAAGCTAATTGTTCTTATTAGTTTCATGTACGACTCAATTGTTACACTTGAGTTTTGTCATTATTGAAATAAAATTGATGTTTTCATTTCATCAACCAAAATTTACTCGAGACCAGTGAAAAGGTTGTCAAGAAATTCAGGGCTTCACCCTGATACGAGCATTTTTTTTGTTTCGACTTTCAAAGATATGCGTTTGGTGTATTTTTCATTCAAATCATTTTTTAAACAAGGCTAGCTGGTTACAGGGCTAATAGCACAGAATGTTCCACCAGTCGTTAAAGCTTACAAAAAAATATTTTTTCAATTTGTGTCGTTTTTTTGTTTCGTCAGTTATGTAAAATAAGCAAATTGGAAAACAATTTTCGAAGACAAATAACAAGAAAAACAAAAATTAAACTCAAATTTTTGGCTGCTGGAGCTTCGTGAGTCCCGTTGCTTACCACTATATTAAAATGACTGTCCAATTAAACTGAACCGAGTCTTGCTAAACCGCTCGTTTTATATTTTTTTCTGCTGAAAGCTATAAGGCAAATAATTGTTTAAAGGTAAAAAAAATACCCTGCACCATAAAATCAATCCTAATTGAATTGGGGCAAGCTAATTAATTATTAGCTTCATTTACGACTCAAATTTTAATTTTTAAAGTTTTGCATAATGAATTTAAATTCATTTTTCATCAGTATTTCATGAACCAAAAACTATTCGAGGCTAGTTAAAATGCAGTCGGGACATTCAGAGGTTTGCCTTGATAGGAGAAGCCTTGATTTTACTAGGTTCAAAATAAAACAGCAGGTGCTTGGTATTGCATGAGGAGGGAAATAAGCAAAACGACTGAAAAAAATCAAGAAAACTTTTTTCAAAATTTTGTCCCAGAGAATAAAAATGGAAGTGGGAACAGTCAAATTTTTGACATTATACGAACTGTCATTTTTTCACTATCAGATAATTCGCTTATTCGTGAAAAAAAATTCTTTTATTAACATTATAAATCAATGATCTCTACAAATTCTGTCAAAACTAAGCAACTGATTCATGTTTTTTTTCTTAAAAAATAGCTATACGGCAAAAGCAACTCACCTTAGGCATGTGAGGACTGTATTTGGAATAAAAAGAGTGAGCATATAATACATTGGGTTGCGACTCATTTTCAAAAACAGTGCGTGTTGCATGTAATGTGTGTATTCGACGACAGCTGCCACGTTGAACTTGTAATCCGTGGAATGATTGAGGTCATTGAAGCGCAAGTTGCCAATTAGTTGACCTGGCTTCATACTGAAAAACAGTTCCGTGTTTTTCCTCATCTTGCCCACGTCGACATCCATTCTGTAGGCGGAAATCATAATCTAAACAACAACAAGTAAGATCTCTCTGCTCAGCTTTCGCTTTTTTCACATTAAAGCTTCAAGCAAATTATAGTCGCCCCCCCCCCCCAATAAAAAAAATTACAAAGGCTCTGAAGATTATTATACTTTTCTTATTACCAGGCTGGAAGGCTATAATTGGAAAGAAATTAGTAGCGGATTAAAGGGGGGGGGGGGTGTTGGACGCATTCTTTCCTCAGGGATTTGGCCCCATGCCGACCCGAAGGGTCCCCCCTTCGTTTCAATTTGGGATCTCCTTTTTTGGCTGATGGATCCTATATTTTTTCTAAAAGCGCCTTTTTTGGCTGATGGATCTTTAATTTTTTCTGAAGGCGCTTTTTTTGGCCTGTTTTTTTTTCAAAAACTTGCCTGCGTCGCAGAAAATTTGGTCAAAATAGGTTCTTTATAGTGTTTTCAGAGAGCTCAGAAAATCAATTTGGGCGACCAAAAAAAGGGGCGCACGCGTGATTTTGAAATTACCTTACAATTTATTAGACGTTGCTAATTGAATCAAGGTATTTTTGAGTTTGATGATCCGAAAACTGAATAAGAATGCAGAAAAATTATTTTGCCATCAAGAACTATGAATATTCACTACGATTACCCTCTGCTTGTCTGTTAGCATTTCATAAAATCTTTTTTGACTGAAAGAACTTAAACTCAATGCTGACTAAAAAAGAGACGCGAGCTCTTTTTAATTTCACTATTAACTTATATTTCGGTTACATAACCGACATATTGGTAATCGATATCCTAAAAAAATTTCTAAATCTAACCGTTTTTTGAACTTTCTCAAAAAATTGAAAACCTTACACGAAAAAAAAAAGAAATATAGTTAATTTTTCAAAAACAAAACTGCGCTCACAAAGCATTTGTGTCGATCAAACGGGAAATACAGCAAGTCCATGTCACACGAGAAAGTATAGCGTCCAAATTTAGACATCCGAACTTCTCCTCTCCTACCCAAAAACATTTTACTGCTTGCTTCTGATTCCACCACTGAGACTAGTGGGTCGAAATTAATGTCCGGATGCCAGATGTCATCCAGGGTATCCGCTTTGAGCTCTATCTCACGTGCCCAATTCCAGCTATCCTTGCTGATAGAGAGGAAATCAGCCACACGGAGATCAGTCCAGTTAGCCTACAAAAATAAAACTAAGTTAATTATAGAGAGGAAATCAGCCACACGGAGTTCAGTCCAGTTAGCCTAAAAAAATAAAACTAAGTTAATTATATCAAACATTTTTGTCTGCCAAATATTGAAGTAAAAAATATTGAAGTGAAAAGTTATTGAAAAGTTATTAAAATGTTAAAGTGCTAATAAAATTAAATAAAAACTGCTCCTCCTCGAGAAAGTAAAACAAATACCAATGATTTTATTTTTACTAAAAAAAATTCTTGACTTTAATCAACGTCCCAAATAAATAGTCTTAATTTAGTTATTGAAAAGTGTACTAACTCTTCAGTTAAAACTAATTTTCAGCACACTATTACGTAATTGAATTTTCCTAAAATTGGCCTCCCAACTGCAAAACATTGATTGGAATCATATATATATATATATATATATATATATAAAAGAAAGCGTTCCGATTTTAAAATTCAGTCTCAACAGGTCATCTTGCAAAAATATTCGGAATCAATTTTTTCGCTGATGAGGTGAAAAGAATTCAATCTACATATTGAGCTTGAATTCAATCTACAGAGCTCTTCTTATGGGATGGGCTGTAACGCAACTTTTGCCTCATTTGAGTTTGAAAAACTTATGAAACAATAATTGCTATAGCGTTTTCATACATGACAAAAAGAACTATTATACATTTTCCATTTGGGAAAAATTATTTTTCGTATAGTTTTCATTTAAGGTTAGAAAAATGATTATTATACAGTTTCCAAACCTAAAAAAGTATTTATCGAAGAATTTTTAAAAAATTTTCAGTACCAAAACTGTATGATATTTTTTTTTGTTCAACCAGCTAGTTTTAGGTATATTAACATATGATTAGCCATGAATTTTATGCTGATAATTTCAAAATTTAAATGATCGAAGTTGAGTCACAAATGGAATTAAGGAAATACCAACAAAACTGTTTGTATAAAGGCAAAACCCTGAGTGCTGCGACTGCCGTATAAATATTTCAAAACTAGTGCTTGCTTTGAAAAATGAAAAAATTCTGATAAAAGAAAGTCAAGCACCCCACACGCAAAATAAAGTGGAAAGTGTTTTTTGTTCCGAATTTATACACGGAATATTTGTGCTCGGATGGCTTTTTCTCTTCAGACAAATTTCGATTTTTTAACTAGCCACTTTTGGCGGAATTTTTCAAAAAATCATTCGAAAGCTATTATTGTCTTGAGCTTAAATTGAAAAGATATTTCACCTGTGATCAATTTTTGCGAGCTTATGGGGGTTTACAAAGTGCTATTTTGCCAATTTTAGACAATTAACGCGCGAATTATTAAGACGTAAGCGGGGATTTAATCTGTCTTAGAATTTGTTGAAATTGGTTGAAGGTGGCTTTAATGCCATAATTGATTTGTCAATAGGAGCGAAATATATCATTTTGTACCTTATATGGCGTGTGGAGGGATGGTTTTTACCAAAAACTTAAATTTTAGAAAAAAAATCTTTTTTTTTGTTATTCAACTTTCTTTATGTTATTACTGCTCCATAAACCTTATAAGGCAGTCTGAATATTGAGGGCTTTGCCCTGATACGAGCAGTCTTGTTCTATTAAAATCAAAATCATTGGTTGCTTCATTAAAAAGTAACATTTTATCATTGTCAAGCAATTATGCATGACATAATGTTTAAACATAACAAAACCATACAAATATTCCATCTCGGAAAATCGATTGAAAGTTACACATGATTACCAGCTATCAAACTAATTTGAGTTATTTTTAGCGATTTGCTATTTTCTTATCTCTGACTGAAAGACACTTTTGAACTGCGATCTTTTGCGTAAAAATAGATAAGTTTGGTTGGATAAATGAACAAGCAACTACAAACTACTTTTGAATTAAAAATTACGCGTAATTTTATCAACTATAATCTTTTCTACCTAGCAATTCGCGAAACAGTGTATAATGCAGACTTGTGTTGAGCAACTTTGATCATACATTCGCGGTTGATATCACTTACCTTGTTTATAGGGGTTGAATGCGTAGTTCTTTTATTTGACAATGAATAAAAAAAATAACGAAAAAGTTCGGTCAGAAATAAATCTTTAAAAATTTTGCAACAAAAACTATGCCTCGAACGTTCATTGCAAGCTACTTGAACAAAAATAAAAAAAAATAGGCTTTTTGTACCTATGACTTTCTTTCATAATGCTACAAATTAACACGTTCAAAAGCTTGCACTTCTTCTGAACTAGTCTGTTGCTCTAAAAACCAATTGTATAAATAGAGTCGGTATCAACTGTATAATTTGAGATCGGAGTGCGGTCAAAAAGTAGATATGTTTTAAGTTTCACACGTCGTAAGCCAATCAGAATCAAAATGAGAAAAGAGAAAACAATGCTACAAATTACCTTCTTTTCTCGATAGGGATGGGCTCTTTTTTCTACAGGCCGTGGGGAATATAATTTGCTATTCAGTGCTGATTAGAATTATCCGGACAAAAAGCATAACAAAATTTGAACTTTAGAACGCGCTTTTATCAATTTGTACTGAGTGAAGGTTAAATTCTATCAGTAGATAAATTTTAGCAAAAATGATATATTGCAAATTGTTTTACAAATTCGGGTGAGCATCGAAGTGAGCATCCTACGTATCTTAAAAAAACTTAAGAAGGGAATAATCTCAAAAAATGTGCACAAATTGTTTGATCAAAACTATCAATGTTTAGATTGTAATTTTGACGTTTCTTGCATATCAAACAAAAACTAATAATTTATTTTAAAAAATTGAGAAATTTTATCATTTTTTAAAATTTGATGAGAAACTCATTTTGGTATAGTTTTTTCAACAATTGATGCAGTAATTTTGGCGTAATTTTGATTTGACCTAACAAACCAAAATGACCCAATTTTGGCTTAAATTTTGTGGCCCGATTTTCTTAAAACAAATTATACCATCAAAGAATTTTTGAAATTCTAAGCAATTTTAGTCTACATCACTTTTTGTCTTAAATTGACAAAGTTGGAGGGAAACGCGTTTCATATTTCAAGTTTTTATTGTTTCGTCCAGATAATTTTAAATCAACTCAGCACTGTGTTATAAAAAAATTTACAAATTAGATTTTGTAACGCAGGTTTTTATTTAAAGTATTTATTTTTTTCAGCACTGTGTTTATTCAAAGTATTCAAACGTCGAAGCGAGAAATAAAATAAAATACTTTTTATTTAATAAATACTTTTTATTCAATAAAATACTTTTTATTTAAAGTATTTATTTATTCAGCACTGTGTTATAAAAAAATTTAAAAATTAGATTTTGTAACGCAGGTTTTTATTTAAAGTATTTATTTTTTTCCCAGAGATTTTGTAATAATATCATTCAAAAGCTCTTCCTCTGCAGAATTTATTTTTATACGTGCGATTCAAAAATGGAATAAATTGCGTGATTTGCAACAACTTTCAATGTTTTTGGCTAAATTTCAGCTAAAATGGCCATTTTTACGAAATCAAGACACATAACAAACTTAGAAACTGACTCGAAGTTTTGAAAAACTTTTTCAGCACTGATTCACAGTTATAACAAAGCTAATTTATATTAATTATTGCTGACAAATCTAAACATGAAATGACCCTAAAAACTTCATAAAAGTTAAACATCTCTGAACCAGCGCTAGCATCTATGACAATTCAACCCGGGCGTGACATTTCTATTTTATGACTGTTTAATTGCAGCGTAACCCTTAGAGATGATATAACATACCGTACTAATTGCATCAAAGGAGAAGGTTTTCTCGATCTCGGATACAGTTCGCATCTGCTCAATGTGAAATCCAAATGTCACTTTGGGCTTGTCTGGTTGCACGTATTTGTTGTAAGGAGGCTCGTCCTCTGGCGACACAGTTGTAAATTTCCAGCCAGGGGGATATATTTGCACGTCTCTTCTGCTCCGCTTGTCTAGCTTCATACCAAGAAAATCATTTTCAACAGGAAGTAAAGACTCGCTAAGGGCCAAAACTGAGTTTAAAATAATTATAATCAGGTACATTTCTAGTGCAAATTTGAAAATTTTTAGGTTGCTGTTTATTTTTTCTGGCTTCGTTGTTTGGAAAAAATGTATTGCAGGCAGTGATTAGCCCGAGAAGGTTTTTCAGCCTATGAGGTTTCTTTATTCAATCGAAAAAGTTAAATTATTATTTATCATATAGGCAAATGAATTGTAAGGATGGAAAAGTTGAATTGGATGAATTTAGGTTTTGCAAAGGAAATGATTTATTGCATCAAAGGGTAACATCACATGATCTGATGATAAAAATAACGAAAGGCTTAATTCAAACTAAAGGAATTAAAATGCTACTATTCGCTAATGGAAAAATGGAATGAATCGTTTGTAGCTTGAATCCCAATGGTAATTAATAAAAAATGAAGGTCAGATATCCTTTTGGTTCAAATGCTACAAAATTGACTTCAAAGAAACTGTAATAAGACCTAAATCGTAAAATTTGATTTGTTGATTTTTTTTAATTTCAACGTTCCTAATTTCCACGAGCCATAAGTGAGAATTAAGTAAGCTTTGACAACCAATTCGTCTGAGCTGTGAAGTTTGGCTTGGCCCAGCCTTTTCCTAAAAACACCATACTGGAAACCTTCTTTATTTTTTTCATACTTTTTATATTCAGAAAGCGAAACTTCATTTGCAATTTTAACAATCCTTGAAGTTCATTTACTATTTCTAATCTGTCTTTTTTAGATCATATCTGGACAATTTATTGCTTTTTAACGATATTTATGCAAAAAAAATCTTTTGAGTTAGTTTAAAATGCGAAGGCTGCAAGGATAAATTTCTTTCAACCAACTAAATAATGTCTGAGACGGAAATATCTTAAGTTTACTTCTAAGCAATATATTACCTCAAATATAATCAAAAAACCATTTTTTCAATCTTTGAAGCAGAATTTCATTTGTGCTGGTATACCAGTAGGGTGACATGTCCTTATAGAGAGAACGGGCGCACCAAATCAGTGAGCCAAAAAATTAAACAAAAATGGAAACGATATTACTCCTTTAAAGAACATAAGAGTTTCTAATTTATATATTTTTTTGCTTATGAACTCGACTTAACCTTTGAAAACGAAACTAGTTAGCATAACTTAAATCTTTTCAAGTGATTCAGAAATGACTGTTAGCTGATTAAAAAAAAACGTGCCGAAATGTCAGTTTGCAGAAAACTTTCTTTATATTGCCATCTGAGGTTATGTTTTTGTATAGCAAGTAACAGGGGTAAATAGAGAAAAAAAACCCCACCCCGAGCACAAATATTCCGTTACTTTCGTATCGAAAGTCGGAACAATAAGGGTTCTTTTCTACTTCCCCCACATTTCATTTTTGCTATTTTTATCGTTTTTTTTGTTTCATATGGCTCAATGCGTGATGTTTCGATGTGATGTATGAAGAACAAAACTGTTCAAAATTATTAGTTTGTTCACCATGCTAAACGGTCTTGCATTATGACTAGGATAAAATAGTTTCCAAATTGAATTTCAAAAGTGGAGGGAGTGGAAAAAAGCCCCGGTGAGCTGCTTCAGTTCAATTTGAACAATTTTGTAGAGCGTAGTAATAAGTTTTAGATATGCCCATGGCAGGTTTTTACAATGGTGTGCACACTCCGAGGTCCATATGTAGATCAAGATATATCTCTGAGTGACCAGAGCTTTGTAAAAGTGGTTTGAAAAAACACCCCGAGCATATATTTTCCTCACTTTCTTCAGAAGTCGGAAGAATAAGCACTTCACTTTAGGAGGTAGTTTGAATTTTTCTTGCATTTTCAAAAGTTTTGTCCAATGAGAAAAAACGCAAGACTTAAGCAATAAAACAGCCAAAGTAAGGTAACCTGACACACTTAATAGTTTTGGTAAACTAAATTTTTCGGCACGAAGAAAGGCCAGCGCAACATTGTTGACACGTCGTATACCAGGCACCAAATGATTCTGCTAAGAGCATGATTTAGCAGAATTGGCAGAATTCTAGTTATGAGGTAGTATTTTTTCATAGAGCAGAAGATACAGCAGACTTGCGATTATACAGGAGAATTTGTCAGTTTTTTTAAAATCTATTTATAAAAAAAATAAAACGAAAGCTATCATTCCATTTCTCGGAAATAACAAGTACGCATCTATGTTTTACCCGCCTAAACTTTAAACAAAAATTGCTCAATTTCTCAGAAGCACAAAAATTGAATCTATTCGCGACTCCGATCTACAATTTTGCTTCCTGAAAATGCTCTGTTTGTTTTACAAAATGATTTTTTTTGAAAAGTTTTTTTTTGAAAAGAACAGCTTTTTTTGTAATAAACGCGTGATTCATCAAAATTCGCTCTATACTTTGGGCAGCAGTAATTTTTGGGGCCTCTTCAACTATATTTTAATAATCATTTTTTGAGTTTCAGTAAGGCTTTTTTTTTAATTGAAGTGAACAAAAAACAGAAGTGTCGTCACCAGACGTTCTAGCTGGAAAAACAAAAATGCCAGAAATAAAACAAACAAGTTTAATCTAAGAACTGTTGTTAAAATTTGCCAACCAAATTGTGTCGAAATTGTTTATTTAGTCTCCACTTGTTATTTTATTTGTTTATTTGCCGGTCTACTAAGGAACTGTCAATTGGTTATTTGCCCAAAAGTTTTTTTTCTACCGTTGAGAGCCGCATAGCCTTCTCCCATAGGTTCTTCTTCGCCAAGTGAATAGGATTCAATCCAGCTATTCTAATTCATGGGAGCAATTTGCTATCAAAAATTGTTTGCGAATGCTGAAATTTCAGACTTTTGTGATTTTTTGAAGCCTGAAAATAAATTAGACTGATTGTATAAAAAAACATCTGCGTGTTCCGATTGTCGCTACAAGTTTGAACCAATATTCAAAAAACTTTTATTAATGTTTTCATGTTAAAAAATTATGAAGCATATAACATTAACTGACACAAAACCTGATAAGTTGTCCCAATTTTAAAGGTCAAGATTAATGGTTAATTTACCGACAACACATTGACAGTAAACTGAAAATGTAACCCGCGTTATTTTTCCCCATTGGCAAAAATTGACATTTTTCTGAACTTCTAAGGCTTGCTACAAACAATATTAAAATGAAGTATTGGTTTGATTTTCAACATCTGGGACAGTTTTTCTAATGCTACAAAACGAATTCGTCAGAACTGTTTTAGTTTATCTGGAGAAAAAAGGTACTATGCAGAACCATTCTCTCAAAAATCTGGAAGTGGAACAATTTTTTTCGTATCAAGTTGAAATTTTGAATGCTCGTTTTGATGTTTAACATGTCTAAACAGCTTTTGAAGTTTTATTTTTTTTTGAAATCTTCTCACCAATGAAAGTTCAAAAAATATGCGTTTAGTTTTTTAACGCATCAATTGGTTTAAATATTTGGTTCATGTGTAGACAGATTTTAGAGGTTGATCAATTCCAAATTTATGCCTTGTTAGAAAAAAAGACATTTTGCGAAAAAAATTTTTACTGAAAAATAATTTAAGAGAGTTTTGATATTTTTGATATTTTTATATTTTTCAGACTATATAGAAAAAATTTGGATAAAACAAATGGTAAAAACTCGCTTCAAGCGCAAAGACTCCTTCGCTTTCTCCGAGAGTCGAAACAAAACAATATTCAATAAACTTGAAATTTCTAAGCCCAAGCTTACTATTTTGGAGTAAAGAAAAAAAATGATATTTTGAAATTATTAATTAAAGTTTAGCTTTTTCCACTCTTAAAAAGAAGAGTTAGATCTGGCTGTGTAAATCGCCATTTAGATAAAAAGTAATAATGTGAGGCGCTACTCTGCTGGAGAAATTCAACCAATTAAGAAGGACTTGAGTTTATTTTTCGCAGCGCATAATTGAATTCAGGGAGTGAATAGAAAATTGACAGCATTTGTCTACTCGAAAACACTCCTTTGTGAAGCAATTACTGTTAGAATTTATTTGTCTTTAATTCTTTTTATATGCAGACAACTATTTTTATTTCGTTATTACGTGAGAACTGAAAAAAAAACCGCAATCCTCAGGATAATTATTGCTGAAGTTTCTATTGAAGTTCTATTGAAGCGATAGTTATGTTTCTTTTCTGTCAAATTTGACTTCCTCGTAGAAAGTTTGAAAAGACTCAGGTGTAGTCCAGCCCTAGTAGTTGTTAATTGAATACTAAATATAAAATTAACAAGACTGCTCGTATCAGGGCGATGCCCTGAAAGTTCCGACTGCCTTTTAAGGTCTATGGAGCATTATTAAGATGAAAAATTTCGAAGTAATAAAAAAAATAAAAAAACTTTTTTGAAAAAAATTGAGTTTTTATGTAAAAACATCCCCCCACACGTCATATTAAGTACAAATTGATAGATTTTGCGCCTATTAACAAATCAATTATGGCATATAAGCTTCCTTGAACCAATTTGGAACGATTTCTAAGACGGATTAAATCTCGCTTACGCGTTAACAGCGCGAAATTTATCGCGCGTTAATTGTCCCAAATTGGCCAAAATGGCAATCTTTAAACCCCCATAACTTTACGAAAAATGATCACAGGTGAAATATCGTTTCAAATTTGAGCTCAGGACAACAATAGTTTTCGAATGATTTTAAAAAATGCCTTCAAAAATGGCTAGTTAAGAAGTCGAAATTTGTCTGCAGAAAAAAAAACCCATCCCGAGCACAAATATTCCGTTACTTTCGTATCGAAAGTCGGAACAATAAAAAGTGATATACTTTGTTTTTCTAAATTATTTTTAAATTAACCGAAAGTTGAGAAGATGAAGCCCTCATTAGTTTTTAACTTGATTTTATTATTGAATTTTCCTTGTTTTTCAGTAATTTTAGTCTCTTATTTGCATTCTTGTTCAGGTATTTTACCGGGAAGTATAGCAGAAATTTTTTTTAAAAGTGAAAAAAAATTGAAATTTTGTTTTTCTCTGTTGTTTTAAAAAAACTGTTTTGAGTTAGATTTTTTTTAAATAAGCCTCATTGGAACAGTCTGTGATATTTGCACGACAAATGATTCCGTCTTTTTTTCAAAAATCAATTTTTGTTTGTTTTCGAATAATTGTTTTAAATAGTTGAAAGTCAAAAATAATTGAAATATCTTACACAAAAGATTGTACAAAGTATATATTTCAGAAATTAAACTTGGATTTTTCTATCCCAATTTAAAACCAAACAAGACTGCTCGTATCAGGGCGAAGCCCTGAATGTTCCGACTGCTTTTGAAGGTTTACGGAGCAGCAGTAATAACATAAAAACATTATATGAAATTTAAAAAAATGAATTTTTGTTTCTAAATTTTGAAATTTTTATGAAAATCATCACCCCACAGGCCATATAAAACACAAAAAGATAGTTT